CCTTTTGGAATTTACACACAATATTACATTGCATCTTAACTTGGAGGGTTGGGGTGAGGGCAAAGCTTTATTTGTTCGGCTTAGAACTATGACGTGAGTGGAAATCACTCATGTCATAGTTCTCCTTTAAGTGTATTTACAGTGACATGCAGCAGACCTTTGCATATAATTCAATGCAGATACAAATAATGGGAGGCCATGACGCATGATAATCATTGACCCTCTTCCGGGTATGATTCATCCAGCTTTAAGCTGCCCATACACCTTACAATTATCTGCGGATTTTCTGTGGTCAGATGGAAAAAGTGCAACAGATTGGCCCAGGTGGAGATGACTCCATCCACACAGTGTAGCATAGATGGAGGAATCTGTTGCACCTTTTCCATCTGACCACAGAAAGTCTGCCGATAATTGTAAGGTGTGTGGCCAGCTTTACTTAATAATATTGCTCTCAATATCCTGTTTTACTCCAAACAAAGGTTTGGCAGGAGGATATTCCCAGGTGGTAATAACCAAGTTGTTTTAGGCACCTGTGAATATTTTGGCCATGTTATACCATCATATATCCAAAAAGTAAATCTGATCCATTTGCTAGAATCCCATATAAGCTTTAACCCTTTGGCTGCCACAGCATTTTTTGTGGGTTTTCTTGTACCCACGTTATAATCCACATTTTTGCCCTGAAAATTATTGAAACCCCCCAAAGTTATATATTTCCTGAAAGCAAAGACCATTCAGAATAAAATGGCGGCAGCTGAATTTATTTTACGTTGCATGATATTAACGCAACTCTTTGTCAAACACAAACTTTCAGTAAAAATGACACTTAAGTTAATTTTAGTGCCCCAAAACACTATATAATACCCATGTATTGTATAGAATTTCTTTTAAACAGATTAAGTGACGTGTTTCCTGTGTGTGAGGGAGGAGATTCCATCCCGTGATGCTGTCATGGAAGACGTTATGGGAAAGATGAGCTCGTGCCATGTAAATAGATACCGGACATGCCAAGATTACAAAATTGCGTGCGCCTGTGAAACGGCAACAAAATACAGTACTCCAAATTGCCGATAGGCGACGCTTTAGAAGCCCGTGCAGGTCATCAGTTTGGAGTTAACTGTGAATATTGGCCCGAGAACTATTGCTCTCACTCTGGTGCATGTAGGTGCACCAGGCTCATGTTTATGTTACTATGTGCACGTTTGCAGGGGCGGGGGACTTTACTTTTTTTTATTTTTAAATGTATTTATTTTTACTCTTTTTTTACTTTACTTCCTTCCTATCACATAGGGGGCTCACAAGCCCCCTATGCAATAGCATATTAGTGGTGAGTGTTTCTCTTTACTGTGACATTACGGGTCTACTAGACACCTAGGGGGTGATTTACTAACCTAAACACACGCACGCACCAGGTGCGTGTGATTTTTACACAGCAAAACGTATTTATCAACCAAAAAGTCTCTAAAAGCATATTTCCACTAATGCCATATATGGAAAAACCATGCACATGATGCATATATAATGCTGCTTCACAGTTTAGACAAAAATGGTTAGCTCATGCATTTACATTCCTGCATTCATCAATGCAAGCAACACAACGTAGAGCTAATTTACACAACATCACCTTGCAATTCATGCTTGGCTTTGCACAACACACCTGCTGGGTGTGTACACACTACAAAGGTGTCTAGATTCCACCCATAGATCATGCTGGGAGGGAACACACTACAGAGGTGTATACTTGTTCATGGCGTGTTTATAAGGTTAGTAAATCAACCCCCTAGTGTCACCTTTCTACTGCAAAGAAGCTATTTAAGTGCAAATTGCCCTTGAATATAGCCTCTTCTGTAGCCGGGGCAGCTAAGGAACCCAAAGTGACGCATTCAGCGTCGCTTCCAGCTCCATTTAGAGGGGAGGAGATCACTGAACAGATGTTCGCCGGTCTTTCTCTCCCCTACCTGTCGACACCCGTGATGCCAGTCCCAGGCCCGCAGGAGGGGAAGCAGAGCCCGGGAAGGAAGGTGGTGTTGGTGGTGGTGGGAGGGGGGTACTCTTCACCAGCCCCTGGAAGTGGCAGCTTTACACAGTTAAAGCTGCTGGGAGTCTGTTTAGAGGGGCCCGCTGCCAGCAACATATGCCTTACGTCACTGGCAGCTAAAGGGTTAAAGTCTGAGTTTACCTTTCTGACCATGTTTCATGTTACATCTATATTCAGGGTGTTACATGAAACATGGTCAGATAGCAACCCCCCAGGCCCCCCCACCTATAGCCATCTTACCCCTACCCCCACTTACCTGAATCATGGGGTTCTTCTCCCTGCAGACTGCTGCTATTTTTTCATTAAATGGCACAGCTGTCCACACAGCTGCATCATCCATTCACAGATCCTTTGACAGGACCCGTGCATGAATAAACCACAAGTCCCATCAGCCACCGCAGCAGAGGAACATGCAGTTCTCAATGGAATACAAGTGCGGTGAAGTCATCAGATAGGTGCCGCACTTACATTCAATTAATTCTCTG